ATGTGGCTGCTGACCAGAGCAGTTGAGATGCAGCTCTAATAGCTACAGGCAGAGCTCTAAAATGGTCTGGATTGATTCAGGGATGTCGAGTGCCTACCCCAGTCTTCATTTCTGTCAGGTCCACTTTATGTGTTTTATTTAGTGGATGTCTAACTTCAAGCTTCTCTTCGGCTGCTGCTTTCATTTTTCTCTGGCTTAACAGAAATAAAAATTAAATTTCAAAGTGGCAGCACACAGAAAGGGCAGACTGACCCAGCCACACTCTTTACAGCATTAACTCAAGCACTTGACTGGGGTCTGGAATAAAATTTTGGGCAGTATTCATTTGCCTAAACATAGGCATCTGGTGCTGTTAGAGATGCCCCAGTGCAAGCTGCCTGTCAGACATCAACCCAGTGTGGATGTCTCACATACCTGAGAGCATCACCAGTGGATACTGAAGGTGGGCGTGGGCTACAGAACCATGCCAAAGTTTTTCCACCCATTTCCTTAATCTTCACATATATTTAATTATGTTCACAAAAATGCATTGGAGAAAGCCAAGGTTTTAAAATGAATGACATGAACCAGTTCTATGTGCAACAATCTGAGCTTTCCTTTCACCCAAGCAGGCAAGAACCAGCAACCTCTTTGCCAGGGTTCTGACAGGTTTACATCTCCTGGCTGGCTGGTTTTGGTGCCTCTACTGGCTACTGCAGCTGAAGCAATTCCTGCGATGGGCACAGGCATAACGGTCCATCACTGCGTGGATTCTCTGATGTCTTATAAGGGTTGAGTTCATGCCTCAGTCTTTTGTTCAGGGCATTTCTAACACAGTCTCTCTCCATATTTTCAAGAAGCGTAAGAGGCACTAATAATTCAGAGATTAACACCCTGCTGGTAAATTAATATAAAATTGTCTGGTAGGTTACAGCTAGGGTAACAGATATGTACATACTGCAGTGTCTTGCATACTCTTGTACCCTGTTTCTGTAAGAAGCTAAGCCCCAAATAATCCATGGGCATTTCTAACACAGTCTCTCTCCATATTTTCAAGAAGCGTAAGAGGCACTAATAATTCAGAGATTAA